CACACTCGTCGTTAATTTCGAAACTTTTTTTTTATCGTCAACCTGTTCGAACCTTTATTAATCAGAATTTGCGATTACATTATCATGTTGAAGCGGATTAATAAGGTAAATTGGAGGCCTATCAACCCAAAAAATACGCTCATTCCATCTTGTTTCTGCATGCGCCATTATATGGGCAGCTTCCTTTGCTTCTTGTCCAATGTGGTGCCACGATCCTGCTCAGGGGCGGAGCTAGGATTTAGCGTTCGCGCGGGGTACGTCGCAAAAGTTAAAAATATACTAATAATCATAATATTAATAAAACTTTATTTAGTACAAACACACATAAAAAATAACTTAAAATTTTATCACAATTCAGAAAAATATAAAAAAAAATTAATAATGCATCATATGTTGTCTGACTCATTCATTATATTTCCGAAAGTATCCTTAAAATGGAAGAAATTAATTGATATAATTTTAATTTATTGAACTAAACAAACAAAATATGAAACTTAAATGATTAAAATTAAAGGATTTAAGTATTTGATTTGAAAAAAATGCATGATTTAAAGTGAAATTGATTTGTTGAGAGAGTTGAGACAAAGTATATTCAAAATTGAAGGAATAGATATCTAATTTGAAATTAAATGTTTGATTTATAGTGAAATTGGTAATTTCCGGAATAAGAGAGGAAAAAGCTGCTTAATGCCTACCATAAAATAAAAAAGAAGGGAAAAGCTGCGATTGCTTCTCTTGAGAATCAAAACCAAGATCCAGAGATCCAATTAAAGCAACACGCCGCTAGACCAAGTAACAACTTGTGTTAGTCTATTGCAAGCGCTTTTTTATATAATTTCAGTTGATATGTATTATCTCGATCCATTTATATGCAACTTCGAGATTCTCGGGGGCCCCGAAAGCTTCTGTAACTCCGCCCTTCCTGCTTCCATCGCACGCGTAGTCCTACATATGCTTCGCCATATCACTCCCATCTCGTCCTGTATCGTCGCCGCCCCATTGAGTTTCTGAACCAATGTCAGGCAGTCTGTTTCCAAGATCTATGGAAATGGAATTGATGTGTCAGTTTGAACCCTAGTTCCGCCGCCATGGCTTCTGCTTGTTCTGGCTCCCAACTGCCCTGTATTCTTTTCGCAGCTGCCAGAAGAAACCTCCCGTCTGCATCCCTGAGAACCGCTCCAAGACATGCCCGCATCAGTACAAATGGAGATGCTTCGGAACTTCAATGCACCATGAGTGCAACTGTTTAAACCGAACCAAACTCATAAGAATTGCATTCCAATAATAAAAGATATGAGAGGACCAAAACTGGATTAATTGTGGATTTGATTTGGTCCGATCTAAATGTTGACTCGGTTCATTTTCTTAAGTATTTATAAACTTAATGGAACCAAACACCAAATCATATTATATTCAGTTAGAAGTGGTATGGTACAAGCATTGATTTGATTCGATACGGTCCGATACAGGCCAACCTATTTCACACCCCTCTCTTAATTAGGCCATGCAATAGCAGGAGGCTTGATCCGAGTTCATTCGAAATGCTACTTGGCAGTAGTGTGCACAAGTAGTTTTGATTTGGCTTTGAATTTCATGAGTTAAGACACTTATCAAACCTCCATTTCAATTGCATGGTTGAGTTGAGAGGTGATCTAGACGGATTTCCAGTTTGATAAATTTTGAAATAAGGATTAGTGGCGTAGTCACACACAAGTGATTGACCATGCACCACAGTCCACAGTAGTACATTAACCTGCTACATTTGTTTAATTGCCGTTCGAGTAATTTGGCTAATTGGTTTAACTCTTTAAAATTATCAGTGAGTTAGGTGTAAATGTTTGATTTGGTTCGTAGACTCCATAGTTAGTAAAATACGGTATAGGAAACTTACGTATGAAATATGTACGGGTATTTTACTTCGTCTCTTATTTAATGTACATTTAATACGTGTATTAAACGGAGTATTTACTATCTATCTCTACTAACTAGCTAGTAACTAAGTTAATCAATCTACCAATTGTCTATTATGGCGAAGGGAAGCAATGCAAATGTCTATATCTAATTCTCTACTTACTAGCTAGTAATTATTTATAGAAAATGGAATAACCAACAAACTATATGAATTCGGTAAGCCAAACCAAAACAGTTCACTAAACTCTGTACACCAAAGAGACTTAAATCACTTGGACATGTTAATGTCGTTTCACAATAACATGCTAATGACATGTAGAATGCAGAGATTTAGAGAGGGGAATAAATCATCAAGTTGCCCATCTAATAGCGCATATGACATTCAAACGGAATGTTGAATAGATATGAATTGATAGACCACCTATTTCCCAATACCATATGTTTAGGTTTATCGTCTGGATAGTTTAAGTATCAATTAAAAAAGATCCATGTAATTTGTGGGGGAGATGCCAATAGTGTTAATTTATGACTAGAGATTGGTCTAATATTAATTATTTGACAAAAATAAAATACCAAGAACTTATAATTCACTAATATTTTCAAGTAGTTGGACATCTGAAAAATATATATATTTCACTAATTTTCTTACAAAAATATTTCTGACGTTATCTATTTTTTTGGTATATAATCAAAGTGACTATCGCTTATGAAAGTATCTCTCTTAATATTAGTGATCGCACAAAATAAAAATTTTGGGTAAATGACAAGATTGGTCACTGAGATTACTAAAAAAATCCATGTTTAGTCACTAAAAATATTTAATTTCATTCGTAGTCACTAAATTTAGTAAAACATGTCATGTTTGGTCACTCTCCGTCCAACTCCGTTAACTTTATCTGATGTGGCAGTCAACTCGCATAGTTGACCGTCAAATGTCTGACGTGGCATTTAAAAAATAAAAAAATAAAAAAAAATTCCACCTCATTATCATTCTCTTAAAAATTAAACAAATTAATTTTAATTCCCTAAACCTCACAAACTAACATCACCCCTCTTTCTCACCCGCATTTGACCTGAGATTTCTAGTCTCCGGAAATCCCCAATCTGAATGCCGCGAAGGCATAGCGAGCAGCCGGAGATTGGAGGATTCCCCTGATACAATTAAAATGGCTCATTCCTTCACTCTTGCTCCTGTAGAGAAACTCCTTCAGAAAAACCCAACTCTTCGAATTCCTACTAGCTAATGAAGATTGCGAGGTCGAAGACGCCGACTTCGACTTCGGCTCGTTACGGTGGAATCCATGGTGGCGGCCTCTTCTCCTTCCTCCTCCCCTCCCCTGTTTTTTTCTTTCTCGGTTCTTCCTCTCAGTCTTCGGCGGCGGCGAACTCGAATGAGGAGGAGCAGAGCGGCCACATAGATCTGGTTTTCCGTCGGAGAGATTTGTTCCAGAGTCTCAAATCTCGCCCTCTGCTCTGGCCGTGAGATCCTTATTACCACCATCATTGAGCTCTGCTTCTCCTACTCCTTCTTCCAGCTCCTCGTATGAGGAGCGTTGAGCTGCCGCGGAAGTGACGGCGAAGCGCATCGGGCTCGCTGGACAGATGTAGAAGAAGCCTCCCTCCCCGCCGCCTCCGCCATTTCAATCGGGGCTGTACGGGCGTTGACGAAGGGAGTGGAGCAGCCGAGCAGGTGCTCGCAACCTTCCGTCACCCCTGCGAGACGGCGCGCAATCAACCTCCATCTCCCGGTGCTCGCCATCCCTTTCCCCTTCACCGCGGTCCAGATTGGGGATTTTTGGAGGCTGGAATCTTGGGTCGAGCGCTGGTGAGAAAGAGGGCTGAGTTTATCGCCTTTGAGAGAATGGAGTGACCTTTCTCTAGGCCGTCTCTGTTCCGTGGCGGGCGTAAATCCAGGAGACCTTCTCTGTAACTCCTTTCCATCTCCTGATTCTGATGCTTCTTCGCATCTTAATCCCAAAGAAAAGAAAAGAGGGCTGAGGTTAAAATGAATATTATTATTATTATTATTATCATTTTGTTTAGTGGGAAGGGTAATGAGGTGAAAAGGTTATTTTTTTTAATTTATAATTTTTTTAATTTCCACATCATACATTTAACGGTCAACTATGCGAGTTGACTGCCACATCAGACAAATTTAACAGAGTTGGACGGAGAGTGACCAAACATTACATGTTTTATTAAGTCTAGTGACTACGAATGAAATTAAATATTTTTAGTGACTAAACCTGGACTATTTTAATAATTCCAGTGACCAAACTTGTCATTTACCCTAAAAATTTTAAACGTTCACTTATTAGAGTTAGTTCTTCCTACCAACGAAATGAACCTTAATCTGGCGTTCATATATATTGTAACAATTACTTTTTCTCGTTTTAATCGTAATTAGAGGGAAAGAATAAAATGCTCTGTACGAATACTCTGTCGCAGGTTGCTCTGGCGGCCTTTACGTCCCCTTCTGGGCGGCCACCGGATAATCAACAACCGTCGGTGTCTCACGATTCTCAGGGGATCTCTTCCCCGGATTCCACAAAGGCTGCGATGCTGATAGATGAGGGGTCGGGTGTGACAAAGCTAGATACAGTGGTTGAGCCAGAGGGGACGGCACCCTTAGCTGAGAACAAGAGCGTGGCTCAGGCGGGGTCATCACCTGTTTCTTACGCGTGCGTTGTGTCAGGGTCTAGGGACCAATCGAGGTCTCCAGCGACGCAGTGGATCCCGGTGGGAGAGAACGATCTCATCACTGGAAGTTTTAACGGGGAGCCGGAGCTAAAAGTTTCGAACAACTTCATGTCCAGGCTTAGTGCTCCCTGGCAGCGTTCGCTTGTGGTTCGCTTGCCGGGCAGTCGATCGGGTATGCAACGCTCTGTAATCGATTGCGGGTGCTTTGGCGTCCATCCAGTCAGCTCGAGGTTCACGCCCTGGATCAGGAGTGCTTCCTTGTCAAGTTTGTAAATAATCAAGACTACTTCAAAGCTCTGACGGAGGGTCCTTGGGTCATTTTTTATAATTATCTTCTGGTTCAACAATGGTCTCCCTCTTTCAGAGCCTCTGATCAATTGCCAAACACAATGGTGGTCTGGGTTCAGTTCCCAGGCTTTCCAGTACATTTTTATCACAAGGAAATCCTGTTTACCTTGGGAAACATGATCGGGAGGTCAATAAAGCTGGACTACCACACTCTTCATCAGGAGAGGACAAAGTTTGCTAGAATGGCGGTGGAGGTTGATCTTTCTAAACCGCTGGTTCCCCGGATTCGCCTGGATGGAAGATGGCAGAAGGTCGAGTTTGAGAACCTCCCGGTTGTTTGCTTTGAGTGTGGGAAGATTGGGCACACGAAGGTCTCGTGTCCAAGTCTTTACCGGAAAGTCGACAGCCCTTCCCTAGCGTTTTCCGGCGTCGCGGTGTCCGGCAACGATGAGGGAGAGCAATCGGAAGTCAACGGCGGATTCGGTCCCTGGATGATGGTCACGAGGAAATCCCGGCGGAATCCAAGGGAGTCTCCTAACAAAGGCAAGTTTGAGGAGGATTCCCGGATTAGCAACGGTCCTCTTAATCACAAAGTTAGGAAAGGGGAAGATCAAATTATGGGAGGTGAAAGGGACTTACCCGTTCTGCAAGATACCCAGCCTCAATCCCAGCGTGGTCATGGCCAAGGAAAACAATCAGAGAAGCCAAGAAGGAAAGTGGGGGGAAAAAGAAAATGAAGGATAACAGTGAACAAAATAAAGGGAAAGAGAAGCTCACCTACAGCGGGCCTAGTGAAGAGAAGGGACTGTTGGGCCCGAGACCAGACTTGCCGGATTCGCAGGGTGGCAAACCCAAAGCCACAAGCATGGACTCAGCCCCCTCGGCCTCTACCTCCTCCATGGGCCTGTTTTTAACCAAGGGGGATGAGGCGGTCCAAAAAAGCCCATCGGGGGAGAGCTCGTCGGGCTTTTCAACCCAAATCGTCAAAGGGGCCCATGGAACCACGATGCGGATTGTGGAGGTCCCTGAGTACCCCTCTGACGATCGGCCTGTCGCTCCATCGGTGCCCTTGACGGTGACGCGCACCAGACACAGGGGAAGCAAGGATTTGGGGATGCAAGAGGGAAAACAGGCGAAATCCAAGAAAGGCACGCCGATGAGGAACAGTCCCTCCAAAGCTCTCCAGATTTGGACCCCAAAGAAGGATAAAAAGACCAAAGCTAGGGAAAGGAGAGTTTCTGTTACTCTACATCAAATTGAAGCTTGGACTGCCTCAAATGAGAATGTGAAGGGGGCGGAAGCCCTAAGGGGGAAGGAGGGGGCCAATCGATCGGAGGGAGATTCTACCGACCCGCCGGGCGATACTGTCGCTAGTGTTTAATTTGCTGCTTTGCTGTGGATTCTCTCCTCTTCCTCTTTTTTGTCTTTGTTGTTATGTCTGAGTCTATTAAAATTTTTGCCTGGAATGTTGGGGGAGCGGGTGGCAAGTCTTTTGCTCGTTCGCTGAGACTTGCCCTCCAACTTCACCGGCCTGACTTCATGATTTTGGTGGAACCTCAGGTGAGCGGAGGCGTCGCGAACAGGGTGTGTGAGAAGCTTGGATACCCGGATGTTGCTAGGGTTGAAGCGACTGGGAGGAGCGGAGGCATTTGGATTTTTTGGAATGAGAGTTCGTTCCCGGTCCAGATTTACTCGGCCGGGCCTCAGCACCTCTCTCTGAAAGTCTCTAGAAACAATCTTCCCACCTGGATTTTGACGGCAGTTTATGCCTCCCCTCGCCATCAATGTCAAAAGCTCTTGTGGAACTCCCTTATCTGCCAGAGCGAAGACATCGACTATCCTTGGTTGCTGACCGGTGATTTCAATGCGATCCTCGCCCCTGAGGAGAAGACGGGAGCCACGACCGCTGCGACAATCAGGCATTGCAATCGTTTCAACGACTGGATCAACGCGGCAGAGTTGGTGGATCTTGGCTTCTCAGGGCCTTCCTTCACCTGGACGAGGGGGACTCAAGTTGATACCTACAAGGCCAGCCGGCTTGATAGGAGCCTTTGCAACCTGCGGTGGAATGAGAGCTTCCCGACTTCTACGGTCACGCACCTCCCTCGCCTGAGTTCTGATCATCATCCCATCCTTACTGCAGTTTCTCTTCAGGGAGTCTCTAACTCTGCTGTTAGGAGGTTTAAGTTTGAAGCAGCTTGGTTATCTCATAGCAACTTCCATGACTTCTTATCTTGTTCGTGGAATTCGCAGGTTCCCTTGCCGCAAGCTCTTCAAGACTTCACAAGTAAAATCCAGGCCTGGAATCAATCACTTTTTGGGAACATTAATCACAGGAAGAAGAGATTGCTGGCTAGGATTGGGGGGATTGAGAGACGTTTGGCTACTGCCTTCTCTCCTGGCCTCGCCAAACTGCATTCTAAGCTTGAGGCGGAGCTTGATTCGACTCTTGAACAAGAAGAGCTGATGTTGTTCCAGCGGGCCCGTGATAGCTGGGTGAAGTTTGGTGAGCGGAATACGTCGTACTTTCACCAAATGGCGAACATAAGGCGGCGCTCCAACAAAATTGCGTGCTTGAAAGACTCGGACGGGAATTGGATCCATGATGCGGCTGAACTCAAGTCTCTAATCTTTAATTTTTATGTCAATTTGTACTTGCAGGATGGAGGCCCTTTTGTGGATAAGATGCCGAAAGGGGCTTTTCCCAGGCCTAGCCAGGAGGAGTGGATGCTTCTTCTTCGCCCCTTCACCGCCATGGATATTCAGAATGCAATCTTTGATATGAAACCTCTTCAGGCGCTAGGGCCGGACGGGTTCCAGGCAATCTTCTACCAGCAGGCGTGGAAGGTGGTTGGCAGGGATCTTACTGATATGGCTATTCGCTTCTTTGAGAATGGGACGCTACCTGAAGAGGTCTCCTCCTCGACAGTAGTTCTTATTCCGAAAGTGGAAAACCCGGAGTCAGTTGGGCAGCTTCGGCCCATATCCCTGAATAGTTTCATCTTGAAGGCTATCACTAAGGCGATGACGAGTAGATTAAAGCCCATCATGAGGAGGATTGTCTCTCCTCGTCAGAGTAGTTTTATTCCTGGGCGTCAAACCACTGACAACATTCTTTGTCGTTCAGGAGGTTCTTCATTCTCTTCGCAAGAGGAAAGGGAAGAAAGGGGGTATTGTGATTAAGATTGACTTGGAAAAGGCGTATGATAGACTCCGGTGGGATTTTCTGCGGGATACCCTTATGGAGGTTGGGCTTCCGAGTTCTTGGGTTCGCTGCATCATGTATTGCGTGGAGCAGAACAGGATGCGAATCCTGTGGAATGGGGAGCTTCTTCAGGCCATTACTCCGACTCGCGGAGTCCGTCAGGGAGATCCTCTTTCACCATACCTCTTTGTTCTTTGCATGGAACGTCTTTCTCACAGAATTGACCAGGCTGTTCGGGAAAAGTCTTGGAAACCCATCAGACTTTCACCGGATGGCCCGACTCTCACTCACCTCTTCTTTGCAGATGATCTTATTCTTTTTGCTGAGGCCGAGGGAGCGCAAGTGCAGGTCATCAAACAATGTCTTGAAGAATTTTGTGAGAGTTTGGGTCAACGGGTGAATTACGCGAAGTCGACGATGTGGGTGTCGCCGAATATTCATCAGGAGAAGGCTCAAAGGCTTAGCGGCAGGGCTGACATTCCGCTCACAAATGAGATTGGGCGGTATTTGGGCATTCAGACTATTCACAGAAGGTTCATGAAGACTCGGTACCAGGGCCTGATTCTCAGGATCAAGAAGAAATTGGCGCCGTGGAAGACGAGACGGCTTTCTTTAGCTGCCAGACTGACTGTTGTTGGAGCTGTATCCTCTGCCATACCCACTTACCCTATGCATACTGAGCTCATTCCCGCTAATGTTTGCAATTCGATTGATAAGATAAACAGGGATTTTGTCTGGGGCAAAGAGGAGGGCCAAGGGAAGATGCATCTTGTTGCGTGGGATAAGCTGACGGATCCAAAATGGTTGGGCGGAGCTGGACTGCGTTCTACAAGACAGGCCAACCTGGCTCTTCTTGCCAAAGGAGGATGGCATTTGCTGACTGAGAATGACAATTTGTGGACTCAACTCATGAGAACCAAGTATGGGAAGCAGAGAGAGGCGCTGGATATTCTGCACCACTGTCAGGGAAGTTCCTTTGCCTGGAGGAGCTTCAATAAAGCTTCTAATATTCTTAAGAAAGGCATTGCGTGGAATATTCATAATGACAGGGGCACTAAATTTTGGCGGGATATTTGGGTTTTGCAGGTACCCCTAATGACGGTGGCGCTTCAGCCTGTTATGGATGAGATGCTCTTGGAAAGAGTTGCTGATTATGTGGATCCAGATGGCAGATGGGATACCGGCCGTTTGGAACAGTGGCTACCAGAGGAGGTTGTTCACAAAATCACAGCTATTGCGGTGGATCCTCTTTCAGCGGCTCCTGATACTCTCTTCTGGGCGGCTTCTCGGAATGGAAGATTCACGGCCAAGTCAGCTTACCTTATGACGTACAATGAGCGTACCAGCCCGGAAGAGAAATTGTGGCGGAAGATTTGGCGCCTTCAGGTCCCTGAGAGGATTCGTTGCTTCTGCTGGATGGTGGCCCTGGGTAGGATCGCTACGAATGAGCTTCGGTTCTCAAGGAAGTGCGCCCACTCCCCGCACTGCTATAGGTGTGATGGTACTACTGAATCTATCTTGCATGTTCTAAGGGATTGCCCGCCTGCTTTTTATTTCTGGAACAAGCAGGTCCCGTCGGCGGATCAGGCTGCCTTCTTCTTGACTAGTACAAAAGAATGGGTCGGGCAAAATCTTCTTAATGATGAGGTCACTAGCTCGGGGATGGCATGGAATGATTTCTTTGCGACTGCCATTTGGCTCCTCTGGAAGAACAGGTGCAAGGGGTGTTTTGAGGGCTTGACTAGCACTCTCTCGGCTCCTTCCCTGGAGCATGCAATTGTTTACAAGGCCAATATGTGGCATGCTTCCTGGAAGTCAGATAGCTCCGTGATGCTTCGGTCTCCTACTTCGGCGGCTGCGCGAGTGGTAGCCAACATTTGTGGGGTGCCCCCGCGTAGAGGTTGGTTGAAACTGAACATTGATGGCGCCTCTGCAGGGAATCCGGGCAAGGCCAGGGCCGGTGGGGTGATCCGTGATGAGCAGGGACGGTGGAAGGCTGGTTTCGTTGCGCAGATTGGAGAGGCCACGGCGGCTTTGGCAGAACTGTGGGCTTTGTACCATGGTCTAAATCTCGCTTGGAGTCATGGGTGCTATAACCTGGAGGTTGAAACGGATTCTCAGTTGGTTGTCCAGTGGCTCAAGAACAGGGTGGATCCTCTCCATCCTCATGCTTCTTTGTTGGGGGCTATCAGAAGGCGTCTTACTCAAGATTGGTTGGTTAACATTGGGCATACATACCGCGAAGGGAATAGAGTCGCGGACTGGCTCTCGAAGCACAGTCTCGTCTATCCCTACGGTATGTATGAACTTGTTAACCCGCCTAACGGGGTGACTAATCTGATGCAAGACGATGTGATGGCCATTACCTTTGAGCGTAGTGTAGTTGCTACGACTAGTCTGTAATCTCTCCCCCCCCCCCCCCCTCGTTGTCTCTTGTTCCTGGCTTTTTGCCTCCCTTCACGCAAAAAAAAATATATTGTAACAATTGTGGTTGTTATTAACTAGACCTAATCATAATTTTTCCCTGGGGTT